AGGGGGGTGGGGAAAAGGGTGTAACAATGAATGAATGGAATTCCAAAATCTCTGTAGATGTTCACTGAAATGAAAATTAAATAATTTAATTTAAAAAAAATACTTCAACAAAGTGTAAAAGAGGTAACTGTATTTACTATTAGGCATCTATACTTACTTAGCTAAAATTCCCACACTTAGCATTAATTTTATAACTTCTGTAATACACACGGCTGTGGTTGAAAAGTAGAGTTCTTTGTCTGAAGTCCTTGTGTATCTTAAAGCTATAGTGTAAGCTGCAGCCACCAGAGTCATCACGACCAAGCAGTATAACTTGAATAACAAATTGACATTCTCTGGAAAATAGAGGCAACAAAATATTGAGTAAGAATATTAAGTATATAAAAGTTAACTGTATAAAAGTTAACAGTTTATAGGTAAAATATTTTTCAATTCTAAATAAAAAAGTTTTTTAAATCAATATTTAAACACTTATTGTAAAACAATATTTTCAAAGTGCATGAACATGACAAACTTGTATGCAAAAAATTCAACTGACTTTAACACCTATTTGTTATGTACTATCAAGTTGACTATAACTCACAGCAATCCTAGGAACAAGAAATCTGAACTTTGCCCTATCTTGGGCCACCCTCACCAACTTTTACATGCTTAAGTCCACTGCTACAGTCACTGTGGCAACCCGTCTCATTGAGGATCATCCTCTTTTTCTTTTACTGCTCCACCTTTCCCTGCATGCCTCCTTCCAAGGACTCGCTCCTCCTGACAACTGGTTACTGATTTGTTCCTGAGGAGTGTTCCAATTAACAAAATCATGTTGTTGTTGTTGTTGTTGTTGTTAGGTGCCTTCGAGTTCACCATGGGTAACAGTGATGCTATGAAAAACAGATGTGAACCCTGACCTACCACACACCATTTTTACCACCTCTAATATACTTGAGCTCACTGTCATAGTCACTGTGTCAATCCATCTTTGTTAGGGGTCATTTTCTCTTTCAGTGATCCTCCACCTTTTCAAGCACGATGTCTTTTTCCAAGGACTGGCCCCTTCTAACATGACCTAAGTATGTGAAATGAAGCGTCATCATTCTTGTCCTCCAAGGAGCACCCTGGTTGTACTTTCTCCAAGACAAATCTGTTTGTTCTTTCTGCAGTCTATGGGATATTCAGTACCCTTCTCCAACACCACAATTCATAGGCATCGATTCTTCTATCATCCTTAGTTCAACTTTTTAATGCATAGAAAGTAGGGTCTACCCACTTTAGTTTGTTGTGAGATGCTGTCAAGTTTATTTCCACTCACAGCAACTCCAGGTAACAGTAGAACTGCCCGTAGAGTTTCCTTCAGGCCATGGTCTTTTCAACACTTGGATGCATCTGAGAACTAGACAATGAGTAAAGATAACAAAGAAGTTTTGATACATTTGAGCTCTGGTGTTGGGAGATGAGTAATAAATATCCCATTGGCTGCGAAAAGAATAAACAGATATGTCATAGAGAAAAGGTTAACTAGAGTCTCCTTGGAAAGGATGACAAAGCTTCATCTTACATACTTTGGCATGTTATTAGGAAGGGACAACATGCTTGGAAAGGCAAAAGGTCAGCAAATGAAAGGAAGACCCTCAATGAGATTGACTGACACAATTACAGTAGCAATGAGCATGTCAGAGATGGTAAAGATGGCACAGGATGGATAGGGTTCAGATCTATTCTTCACTATGAGTTGTACTCATCCCAATGGCATTTAACAACAGCAGTCTTGATGAGAGCTGTGATGTTAAGAGTTTATTGTTCAAAATGGCTTTCCTAGCCAATGAATTTGACTAGCGATCCTATGTACAACAGCCCTAAACTCCGCTCTGTCCTGTGCCAATCGCACCGTCTCTGACACTTCCGTCCCAATTATCCCAGTCACTGAATCAATCCACCTCATAGAGGGCCTTCCTCTCCTGCGCTGCCCCTCCACCCTCCCAAGCATGATGTCCCTCTCCAAGGACCGGTCTCTCCTCCCAACATGTCCAAAGTATGTTAGACGGAGCCTCAAAATCCTTGCCTCCAAGGAGCCACCCGGTTTAACCCTTTCCAGGACAAATCTGTTTGTTTTCCTAGCAGTCCATGGTATTCTCAATACTCTTCTCCAGCACCACAGCTCAAAGGCATCAATTCTCCTTCTATCCTCCTTGGTCATTGTCCAACTCTCTGATGCATAACAAGTGATTGCGAAGACCACAGCCTGTATCAGACATACCTTAGTCTCCAGAGAGACAGCACTGCTCTTCAGTACTTTGGAGAGGTCCCTAACAGCAGATTTTGCCATGGCAATGGGCCTTTTAATTTCCTGGCTGCTGGTGCCAAGACTGTTGACTACAGAGCCAAGCAAACTAAAGCTGTGTACAATCTCAATCTCTTCACCATCCATCCTGATGCTGCCAATTGATCCAGTGGTGAGAATCTTTGTCTTCTTGACATTGAGCCTCAATCCATATTGTAGGCTGCAGTCCTTGACACTCTGCAGCAGGCGTTTCAGGTCCTCTTCAGTTTCAGCAAGCAGGGTTGTGTCATCCGCATAACGCAGGTTGTTGATAAATCGTCCACCAATCTTGACCCCACATTTCTCCTCATAGAGCCCAGCCTTCTGGATAATCTGTTCTGCATATAGGTTGAAAAGGTATGGAGATAGGATGCATCCCTGGTGTACACCCTTCCCACTTTTGAACCATGCAGTGTTCCCTTGCTCTGTTCTGATGACTGCCTCCTGGTCCAAGTATAAGTTTCGCATTAGAACGATCAAGTGTTCTGGGATTCCCATTCTTCTCAGAGTCAGCCATAGTTTGTTATGATCTACACAGTGAAATGCCTTTGGATAGTCAATGAAACACACTCGACGGCACATAACAAAAACAATAACACATGGTTGTGTGGTAATATGTGAATAGGGTGTGTTAGCCTATCCACAAGGGGACTGGCTAGTCTCCTCACTAAATGAAGTAGACATGGTGGCCGATTTAGGAATGCAGTGTGCACCCTTTGAGATAAAAAATTCTTTTACCAACTCGACTTAATAGCAGCAGCAGTGGTCAAAGCAGAAGACCAGACATGAGACAGAGTGGACCTTGGGTCCTCACTATCCCATTGAACCAGAGTTAAGAGCTTTTTACCCAAGTTTTTGGATGACTGGGGCGGGGGACCATAATTTTCAGGACTGAAAGTTTGGAAATATTGGCCTCAAGCTGTGAGGCTCAAGCCTGAGAGATGCCTGTGAGCACATTTCAGAAGCTATCCTCACTGAGTGACTGTACTCTGCTACCAACCAGAATTATAAAGGCTTTTGACTTCCCCAATATGGTTCTGTGGAGTCTATGAGTTATCACATAAGATTTTGTACTCAGAAAAGGATTCGACTCATGTTGGAATGAGTATAAGGAGGTAAGAGAAGGTGGGATGGGAGGAAGCGCGGGATGGTGTTACCTGCGATGCTCCCAGTTTTGGGGGGGGCGTGAAACTGCTGTCTAGCTTGACCATGTGGGACCCTTTAACTTAAGATCAGCAAGCCATGGGCCCCAGCAAAAGCCACCAGCTGAGTCCTGGCCAGAAGCCTGTGGGACACCCCCCCCACCAGGAACAAGCCGGTACTTTGGGGAAGTCTGGCCTGACCACATGGGACCTCTTAACTCAGGCAACAGGGAGGTCCTGGGCCCCTCGATGGAGGTGAGAAACCACTTCCAGAAGGGAATAACAGGTGTCCTCAGTGGTCACTCAGGTACTTTGGGGAACAAACTGCTGTCAGGCCCTTGGCCTGCAAAAAGGGAGCACAAATATATAGGTGCTTCTTAAATATTGCTGTGGATCAACGTGGAGCCACGGGAGCTGGAAGCATCAGAGGGTCACAGTGAGTGATGGCAGGGTACACAAGCCTTGGTGGGGTGCAGAGAGAGCCATGGTGGGGCGTACTGAGCCACAGCAGGGAACAACAACAGGACACACCTGCCAGGAGCAAACAGAACAGCAGGAAATTGAGTGAGGTACTTAAGGTGGATCATGGCTGATTAGTAGACCAATTGTGGGACCCAAAACCTTAAGCAGGAAGGAGTGAGATAGATGGGGATCAATTGGAATGGCAGACTAAGTTCTTCAGGAGAAAACCAAGACTTCCTGGCTTTCCATTCAGGTCACCCCTGCACTCTCTCCCATGTGCATCTGTGTGCGCATCTCACCCCCAGCCCACATGTGCATCTACATGTGCACTCACCCCAAGTACATCTGATTATGTGCCTGCCCAATCTTCTTCTGGAGCAGTGATATCAGATCAAAAACAAGCTATCACCTCAGGCTCAAAAAACTACCACAACAACGTTACTAAAGAAGCAGACTACCTCACTCCCCAGACAAGTGCAAAGCAAGATGTCACCCCCAAAAGGTGACACAGTAGCAATGGATTTCCAGAAGTCAGGAAGTCTGATGGAACTTTCTGACACAGAATTCAAAAGAAGAATGACTGAAAATTTTCAATGGGGGAAAAACAAACTTGAAGAATTACAGGACACTGCAAGCAAAATCAGTAGGAGCTTGAAGAAACAATCCAAACCAATGCAGATAAAAACAAACAAACAAACAAACAAAACAACGAGGCACTAGAGGCACTGGAAAAACAAGAAATCATGGTCCAAAATACGAGATCAAAGGATTCAAATGCTGCCAACATGATGGAGGGACACATGAACAGAACTGAAGAGATAGAACACAGACCCAGTGAAATATAGTATAGAATTGTCACCATTGATCTGCTAGAGCAAAAAGCAGAGTCAAAAAGGAAAGAAAAAGAAGAAAACTTAAGAATAATGTGGGACACCATGAAGAGAAATAACATGTGCATTATCAGAAGCCCAGAACAGGAAGAAGCAAGTAAAGGCACTAAAAAAGTTGTGGAAGTATTAATAGAAGAAAACTTCCCAGGCATAATGAAGAATGATAGAATATATATATTCAGGAAGCTGAGCAAACACTATAGAATAGACCCCAAAAGAAAAAAATATCATACTTAAATTTGCCAGAACCAAAGATAAGGAGAGAATTCTGAAAGCAGCAAGGGAGAAACAAGGAGGAACCTATAAGGGAAAGCAGATAAGATTAAATGTCGATTTCTCAGTAGAAACCATGATAACAAGAAGACAGTAGAATGACATATATCGAACACTCAGAGAACACAACTGTCAACCAAGAATACTGTACCCAGCAAAACTGTCCATCAAATATGAAGGAGAGATCAAGATATTCCCAGAAAAATAGAATCTAAGGGGGTTTGCAAAAACAAGACCAGTATTGCAGGAAACACTGAGAGATGTCTTTCTTACACAAGTGCCACATAAAACAGGATTGACCAAAGTAACTAGCAACAACACCAAGAAGAACTCAACAAAATGATAGCAATAAAACCTTGCCTCTCAAAATCACACTGAATGTGAATAGTTTAAATGCACCACTTAAGAGAAAAATAGTAGCAGATTGGATAAACAAAATCTATCAATATGCAGTCCACAAGAGACATCCCTGAAAAATTAAGATAAAGACAGACTCAAAATAAAAGGGTGGGAAAAAATATACCAAGCAAATGGCAACCAGAAAAAAGTAGGAGTAGTGATATTAATCTCTGATAAAACAAATTTCAATGCAAAAACCATTGAAGGACAAGGAAGATCACTACATAATGCTGAAAAGGTCAACAGAACAAGAGCACATAACAATAACAAATATCTACGCAGCAAATGAAAGACCTGCAAAATATATTAAAAAAAATTAGCAAAACTGAAAAAGGAAATAGACAACACTACTACAGCACCTGGAGACTTCTACTGAAGACTCAACAGAAGTCTCAAGAGTCTCACCACTCTTAAGATAGAAAGATAGAACTACCAGAAAGAAAGAAACTCAACAAAGACACTGAAGAATTAAACCACACAAGAAACCAACTCGATCTCATGACATTTATAGACTAATATACCCCAAAAAAGCACAGTACACTTTCTTTTCCAATGTCCATGGAATGTTCTCCAGAATAGATCACATTTTAAGTCACAAGACAAGCATCAATAAATTAAAAAACACAGAAATAATACAAAGCATCTTCTCAGACCACAATGCTACAAAATTAGAAATTAATACCAAGAGGATAAAGGAGGAAAAAACCATACATTTGGAAGCTGACCAACATCACTCTTGAACACGAGGAGGTACTAGAAGAAACAAAAACTGAAATTAAAGTTTCTTGAAACAAATGACAATGAAACCAACACTTACCAAAATCTCCGTTAAACAGCCAAAGAAGAAATCAGAGGTCAATTTATAGCATTAAGCAAACACATCAAAAGTGACCACTGACTCCAAACCAACATCTCCAACAAATTTAAAAAGAACAGCAAGAAAATCCAACACCCTCTAAAAAAACTGAAATTATAAAAATGTGAGCAGAAATCAATTAAATAGAAAACCAAAAAGCAACTGAAACTATCAACAAAACTAGGGGTTGGGTTTGTCCTGGAGAAGGTGAAGCTGGAATTCTCCTTGGAGTCAAGGATTCTGAAGCTTCATCTGACATACTTTGGGTATGATGCAAGGAGGGACTGGTCCTTGGAGAGGGACATCATGTTTGGCAGAGTGGAGGGGCGGCGCAGGAGAGGAAGACCTTCAATGAGATGGATTGACTCTGTAACTGGAGTGGCGGGAATTGAGTGTGTTTGAGACGGCTAGGTTGGCACAGCATAGAACAGCGTTTAGGGCTCTTCTTGTATATAGGGTCACTATGAGTTGCAAGGGACTCAATGGCACATAACAACAACAACAACAAGGCCAGTGAATACTCACCTAGCCCACAACTCAACTAGTAGCAACATTTCAACTGTCCTTGTTCACTATGGCTAATAAAGTTTCCTTTAGTCTCCACCTATATTTGTGGCAAATGGTTCACTAAAAGAAAGTCAATTGCTAACCATGATAAATGGAAAAAATATTGATGTTGTCAACAGTTTCATTTTACTTGGATCCACACTCAATATTCATAGAAGCAGCAATGAACAAATAAAAGATGTTGCATTGGACAAATCTGCTGTCAAGGATTGGTCAAAGTTGGACAGTGATTAAGAAAGATCAAGCCAGTATCTCTGAAATATCATGTTAACAAAGAATACTGAATATACCACAAACTGCCAGAAGGACAAAAAAATATATCTTGGAAGAATTGCAGCCAATGTGCTCCTTAGAGGTAAGGATGGTGAGACTGTTTTCAGGAGGGGCCAGTCCCTAGTAAAAACATATTACACTTGCAAAGTGTAGGGTCACATAAGATTGGAAGAAAACCCTCAAAAGATGGGCTGTCCCAATAACTGCAACCATTAGCTGAAGTATAGCAGAGATTATAAGGATGGCAGAGGATCAAGAAAGGTTTCAATCTGTTGTATATAGGATAACTGTGAGTCAGAGTTGGCTCAATGGCACCTAACAATGACTGTGACAGAAATGGTCTTAAAGTTAATAGTTCTTTATTTTAAAAAATCCAAGTTTTGAATAAACTAAAATATGGCAGTTTCTGTGAACTGATCAAGTTAGCTCTATAAATTTTTCTGTGCGGCAAAAAAAATAATTAAAAGCTTAGTAAATCACTCTTGCTCTATATTTATACGTGGGTTTACTGTAGTTATTTTAATTTACATTTTACTATAGCTTATGCTTTTGTATATAATCAAGTCAGAACCCATTCATAGCTAAACCTCCAGCAGGTTTTCAGAGACTGTAAATTGAACAGGAGGAGATTGTCCATCTTCCTCTCACAGAGCAGCTAGTACATTCAAACCAAATATCTTTCAGTTAGCAATCCAATTCCTTACCACTAGGCCACCAGAGCTCCCTGCATATCATATGGAGGGCATTATTATTAATACCTAATTTTTTAGAAATTTAGAAGTTGCAGATATACCATATCCTTTGAAATATCAAACTACCAAAATTACGATTTTCTAGTGTTGTTGTTATGTGCCATTGAGTCACCTGCAACTCATAGCAACCCCATGCACAAAAGCTCTGAACTCTCCTATCCTGAGCCAATCTCATAGTCTCCAACACACTTGGCCTTATTACCCTAGTCACAGTGTCAACCCATCTCATCCAGAGTCTTCCTCTTCTGCAGTATCCCATCACCCTTCCAAGTATGATGTCCTTTTCCAAGGACTGGTTCCTGCTGGCAGCATGCCCAAAGTATGCAAGACAGGAGTTTCAAAATCCTTGCCTCCAGAAAGCAAGCTGGTTTCACCCTCTCAAGAACAGACCTGTTGTTCTCTTGGAAGTCTAGGGTATGTTCAATACTCTTCTCCAGTACAACTCACTGGCATCAATTCACCTCCTGTCATCCTTATTCACTGTCCAGCTCTCTGATTCATAGACCATGTGAAGACCATGACCTGGATCAGGCGCACCTTAGTCTCTGTCATATTTGCACTTCAGCACTCTGGGTAAGCCCCTGACAATAGACTTTTCTAATTCAATTAGTCTTTTGATTTCTTGGCTACTAGCTAGTTCCAAGACTGTTAACTGTGGACCCAAGCAAGCTGAAAATGTTGACAATCTCATTTCCATCTATCATGATGCTACCAAATGGCACAGTGGTAAGAATCTTTATCTTCTTGATGTTGAGCTTCAATCCATATTAAAGACTGCAGTCCTTTACTTGTTAAAGAAGATGCTTCAGGTCCTCCTCAGTTTCAGCAAGCAAGGCTGTGTCATCTGTATAATGCAGGTTGTTGATGAGTCTAGTGGACATATATATCTGTGAGCTTTGGTGGCCTCCTGATAAGAAGCTATGGTGTAATTCCAAAGGCATGCAGTTAAAATCCACCAGGTGCTTCCTGAGAGAAGGATGAGCCTGTGTTATTTACTGCCTCTGAAAACCTGCTGGAGGGTCAGCTATGTGTTGGTTCTGACTTGAAGACACAACAATAATAGTGGACACTTAAGACTTATAACAAAATCAAGGCAAAGTACAGATAGGCAATAAATCTGCAAGTTGTTACAACTATTTCAAATAATGATTTGGCAACAGTAATTTTCAAGTTTTTGCTACTCATTATTGAGATATCCCTATGTTATGTTGGTCATTAAAACCCATCTACTTCACCCCACTCCCACCACCCTTTACCTCCTCTATTACTATGGGAGGGGGAAGTCATATTTATTTGAAATGGAAGAAAATATAAAAGAATCTTTTGTACAGACAGTGTTCATGGGCAGGGCCTGAATGATAAATGTGAATTCTTCAAATAGGAAAATAATCTGGTAATCATGCAATATGGTATCCTTTAAATATTTGTTCTACTTTTAAGAAGTGAAATCCCAGTGTTCTCTGGAGGAAGGGTAGCGAAATCAGAGTTTCCTCAAACTCCTTCAAACTACAGTAGTATTACTTAGAAATTCACGTTTGGTTCACACTGATATATCCTAGCCAGCAAAACGAACGAACGTGCTGCGGAATTAATCTGGCCCCAGCTCCTGAAAGACAGCCACTAGATCATTTACACGGATGTGTCAATGCTTGGGGTAGGAAGACGTCATCTCCACCCAAAACACCAATGCTCATTCTCTCTGGGAGAAAGTATTTTATCCATGGCATTCTCCCTACCGTTAGGTTCTCAGTGATGTGAAATGCTCCAGTCATGTTTCAGTGGCTGTTTTTCCACACACTTGCCGTCCCTTGGGCTCCTTGCCCAAAGCACGTCTTTGAGCCTCGAAGCTGCCTTGGGGCAGGAGGTGCCGCACCGTGGCAATGTCCCTTACCGAGACACAGCACTGTCCTGTATCCCGCTGAAAGATGCAGGTCCAGCCTGGACCCGCCACAGCCTGAGCCTGTGAGAACTGGGCTCTCATGCCCATCAGTTCTCTGAGACAAGCATGGTCTCGGAGCTCAAAACGGTCCCCGGGAAGGCAGCCGCCGTGGGAGTGCGACAGTCCCGCGCAGCCACCGATTCCGGCCCCCGAGTGGCTCAATAACAAGTCCCACGACCGCCCTAGCCCCGGAGCCACCGGACGTGGAGACGCTCGTCAGCTACGAACTGCCGCCACTCCCGCTCTACCCTCCCAAAAGCCAGAAGCCTCACCTCTCGGAGAAGCCATAGTTCCCTCCTGCGCTGAACCGACGCGCCCCTCCGCGTGCCCTGCGCAAAACACAGGGGCCCGCCCCTAAGAGCATAGAGACGAACATGCTGCGGCTAGAGCGTCGCGCCGCATCGGGCCGGATGAGCAAAGCGGAAGCTCAGAAAACCGAGTTCCACAAGAACAAACTGGGAGGAGGGTAGAGAGAATGGTGCAGCGGTGAATGAATGGAAACCCAAAATCTCTGTAAATGTTTATGAAAATTAATAAAATATAATTATAGAAAAAAAAAAAAGGAAAACTGAGTTCCTTCCAAAATGGGCTCGAGCCCGGGCACGGACTCCGCCGCTCAGTGCTTAATGACAGGGTGTAAAACGTGTTTCCAACGTTTGTTAAGTAAACTACAATTACCAACTGGCTTGGAAAGGGGAGTAGAAGAAACGGAGCGTTACCTTCTGGGAATTATAGTCCCTCCCCCCAAAGGCTGGGCGTCTGATAAGCATTTGTGGTTAGTTTTAGTAATTTATTTTCGTCAAGGCTGATGGGAAAGCTCCGAAGTACTCAAAATAACAAATTGTTTGACTATTTTATAGCTTACACTTTTCACATTACATTCCATTGTTAATCCTTGTAAGTTTCTATGATTTCTACATTTTTGTTCACAAGTGTCCTGTGGTCAGATTGTCACTGCTAGCGAGAGGGTCTGGCTACATGGTTTTCACTCAACGAAATGGCCTCAGAAATGGTAGCAGTGTCATAGTTCAGTTACTATGATCCATCATGTGATGATGAGTGGTTAAGCTCTATGAAAGTGTTAGAAATACTCAGTACTAAAATCAGAACGAGGCGCAAGTATCTGAGAGATGCCCAGCCGCCTACAATTATTGAAGGTTGATCCCCAGAAATTCTGAGAGTTGTGTTGTTAGTGTCATAGCACCAGATGTAGATATACCTGACTTACTTGGAAATTTTGCGTGCCTTATTAGTTGTGTCATATGAATCGTGCTCAACTCGAAGGCAGTCAACAACGATAATTACAAGGGGCTCCCATGAGTCTAGTTGTTCTTAGATGAAGTCTTGTATGATTCCTAGCGACCCTAAGAACAATAAATTGAGGGGAGCTCTGGTGGCCTAGTGGTAAGGAGCTGCAACTGCAATCCCAGAGGCGCACGGTTCGAATCCACCAGATGCTCTGCCAAGGAGGGAGGGACAATCTCCTCCTGTACCAGTCAGATCTGATTTGACGGTACACTCACACAAAAATAATAAAATTTAAAAAAAGAACAATAAATTGGAACCTTGCCTTATTCGGCCCCATCCCACATGCTCGAGTCCATTGTCACTGTGTCAGTCTAGTGCTTTGAGGGTCATTCTCTCTTTCGCTGACCTGTTTTTTCCACTATGTATTTTTCTTTTTTTTTTTTTTAATACTTTCCAAATTTTCTTTTTTTTAAAATTTAGGTTGTTTATTTTTCATTTCAATGAACATCTACAGAGATTTTGGAATTCCATTCATTCATTGTTGCACCC